CGAGACTGCGATGCCAAAGCCCGCAAAAAATACTTCCATAAACCTTCTCAGCACCGACGTCCCCGATTTGTCTCTCTCGCACGAATTTGTCGTCATGACCCACAGCAGGACGCACGCCGAACGCCTCGGAGGCGAGGACCGCCCTAAGCGCAAGGAACGCCCCGCAGGCCAGGAACGCCCCAAAGCGCGAGGGACGCCCCGCAAGCGAGTTAATCTCGCCGAGTTGAGGTAGCTTTATTAAATATGTACACAATCACGACCCCCTCCCCTTTCTCCCTACATCCTCCGCCAAATCGCGATGCAGCCCCGCGGCCAGGCAGGGCGGGGCGGCCGGGGAGGGGGTTGCGGCCAGGCGGATCGTGCACAGCCCCGGGCCAGCCCGAACCACTGCAGACTGATTCCCAGAGTCCTTTTCGTCCCTCCGTCCCTCTCGCACCTTTATGGGGCGCCCATGAGTGCGAGAGAGACAGAGCGACGAAAACGCTCGGAATTCGGAATCAGTCCACCGCGCGCCGCCCGACTAACGAGACGCAGGCTTCGGGCAAACTAGCAAACGCGCCGCCGCCCCCGGCCACGGACAGCGAGCCCGGCCACTCCGAGCCAGGCACTGCCGACTCACCTCTTCCACACTTGAACCCCAGCGGCGGACTCGCATCATCCCAACCCACCGGCACCGCCTGAATCCACGTCACGCCTCGTCACGCAGATTGGTCTCCGACGCGACGGAGGGAAAATGGAGGCCGAGGCTTGACGGCGACGGCACGCCGAGCGCAGTCTCCGAGACGTGCGTCGGCATTTCGTGCATAAGTGACGTCATCGCTCGAGGGCCGAAGGCTAATTAAGCTGCAAATGACGGCCCTATGTTTGCGCGGCCAGGTCGGCCCGGTCGGCCACGAGGGGGAGGAAACGTTATCCGAAACCGTCACCTAATTTATGCATAGGCTGCAAAGCGAAACGGCGCGAAAAGGGCAAGGGCGGAGCGGCGGAGCAGCCATCCGCCGCGATGCCATGCGACGAGTCCATCTTTTTTTCTCTCCCTCCCTCTCTTCCCGAGTCGATGTTCCGGAAGAGGGAAGCGGGAAGCTCCAATTGGGCCCGCCGCAGCAACCAGGTGAGTGTGGCTCCGGCGGCGCACCACGCACCGCATCAGGACGCCACGCAGCGCAAAGCAGCGCCACACACCCCACCAAGTGCCTCCGGCTCCAGCCAGGCAGGCCCGGGTAATCGCACCTCGCCTCGGGGCATCAAAAGGCGGGGCCTCCGCCCGCCCCGCCCCGCCCCGCCCCGAACGGGCCAATCATGCCGGGGGCGAAACCGCCGCCGACACCTCCGACAGGCCGAACACGTCCGCCGCGTCCGCCGCGTTCGGCGGAGCACGACCGCCACATTCAAATACACGGTGCGGTAAATAAATAAATAAAATCGGTTTGCATTCGCGCGATTTTTCTATTTCCCCCTCCTCTTGAATAACGGGGGATGATGCAATAGAAAAGGTGTGTGAGGTGCGCGACCGGGGGGATATGGAAATATTTCATCCAATCACACCGACCTGCGCACACAGAGACCCGTGCAAACAACCGCAAACAAAAAAGGGTCGAGTAGAAAAAAGCGCGCGCGTCCCCAGACTCGCTCTGCGCATCGCCTATCCACCGCATACCTCCCCGCGACGCGCGTGTGCAGGGGAGGCAGGGAGGAAGGGGTTGCGTCATGTCGAGTGGGGGCTGCCCCGCCCCGCCCCGCCCCGCCCCGCCCGGCCCCGCCCGCCCCGCCCCGCAGGCCCCACAGCCACTTCCACGGCAGGGGGCCCGCGCGACAGGCTGCGGCCGGCACTCGTGGAAGCACAAACTTGGGCTGATTTGATTTCACAGAGTATTGCCTCCGTTCTCGATGTCGTCGTCGGCGCTCCCCCTCCCCTCCCCTCCTCGCGCACCGGCGGCGCCGCCAACAATTGGCTGGGCCGGAAGGCCGGAAGTCGGGGAGGCGGCAGAGGCAGCCGCTTTAAAGGAAAACATATTTAACGCGGCGCGGGGGGCGTCTGCAGCCCGCGCAAGCCGGAACCGCGCGCCTCCCAACGCCATTCCGATGCGGCAGCCGTCGCCCGCGCTTCCAACAAAATGAAATTGCACTTTTCGTTTTCTTTCTTTCAATTAAAGAAGAAAAAGAGGGCGAAAATCGGCGAGAGTCGGCGAAGAAGCAAATTATGCACGGGCCGGCGGCGGCGGCGCGTCCCCCGTCCGTCCCTTCTTCTTCATCATCACTGGCATGGCGGCGCATGGCGGCGCTTGGCGGCACTGCCAGAAACGGCGGATCGTTTGAGTCGTGCAGCGAAAGGCAACGAAGCCTGGCCGCGGCTGCTGCAGCAGTTCCTCACACGCAGCAAGCGAGCAGGCGGCTAAGTCACGGCGCCCGACGGACTGCGGGTAGGCTGGCCCGGCGGCAGCCGCGTTCGGCGGGACGGCCTACCCGCCAGGCTGATCCCTTGACTTGCCCGAGCCCCGCGGGCGGGGCGGGCCACCTTCCGAGGGTTCCTCTCAAAGGTCTCACGACATTTCGGGCCAATATTTCCAAACTTCCACATGTGAACGTTCTGAAAAAAAAAATCAGGTCCACTATAACATTCATGACGCGAACCAGCCAGGCCTGTGGCAGAGGGGGACGAGGAAAAAGTAAAGGACCCGACTGCAATGTGACGCCACGTAATTCGTCCGTCGGCAGCCCCTCCGCGATAATGAGGCTGCAACCCCTTCCAGCGCTGGGGGAAAGGGGGGGGGGGGGGTTGGAGCACGTGGGAAATTACTTTGGGCGCAGGAATGCGATCAACACGGCCCGGCCCCGCCAGCACACCGCCAGCCCCACCCAGGGGTTGTAAAACTTGGGCGGCGCCGGCATCACGCCGCCGAAATTCGCGTGTCGACGAGGAGAAGAGGAAAAGGGGGCGGGAAAACCGCGCGCGCCGCAGGGAACCCGAGGGAACCCGAGGGAACCGCAGCAACCTCGGTCGCAAAACGGACAACTTCAGGACACCAGTGTGACGTGTCAAAGGCAGACAGTTTCAACAGTGTACGCGAGAAGACGGCAGACACACCGTCGAAACCGAAGACCGCGGCTGCGGTCCGCTTCCTTCCATCGTGCTGTAGTGTGGCCAAGTGTGGCGTGGACACCCATGGAGGTTTTCAATTTCTTGCCACATTAAGCTTCAAGACGCGCCGAGAGGCGGGACCCCACGCCAGCCCGGACCAGACCGGCCCTATAAAGACGCTGAAAGTTGGACGTCCCGGGCATGGCCTCTAGCGAGGCCCTCGCCCGCATGCTCCGGCACGTCGCAACAGCAACTTGGGACGAGTGCCACCGCAAGCGTGTGGCAAACTGTGCGCGCAACAAATAAAGAGTGATAATTGGGGGCCGCGTACAGCCACGGCAGTCTCCGCCAGCACAGTGGACTAGAAGACTGGCGGCGCCTGCGGCCAAAATTCTCGACGCGTTCTGAGCACCAGGGTCGCTTAACAGAACTCGAAACCAGCGTCTGACTCCACCAACGGATTCCTCGTTCGCAGAGCAATCTAATGGTGGGGTCACACGTTCAGTTCGACCCAAAGCCCCTAGATAGCCGCCTAAAAGGTAGGCAAACAGTGCCACCTTGCCTCCCATCCCACCCCCAGGCCGCCTCTGGATCCGCCACTGGCCCGGATCGGCCAACACGTTTCAACCAGCTAATTCTGCACAGCTGCCGAGGCTCCAATTCTCCCTGCTCCTTGGAGCGCGCGTGTGCGTCGTCGGTCCGACGGCGGGGCGGGGCGGGGCGGCCCCAGTCATAGGAGGACGTAAAGAGCTTCATTTCGCCTCCCTTGTCCTTGTCGGCCGGGCCGAGGCCGCAGAGGCGCGGCCGCCCCTCCACCCCAGTCTCGGTAACCGCCGCGCCGAACTGCGCCAAACGTTCTCAACCCTCCGAAAACATTTGTCAGTGGAAGTTATTCTACTTTCCGCCCTTCCCCGCTGCAGGCCCGTCCATCGTCACGCGCGTCCGTGAAAAAGGGGGGGGGGGAGGGAAGGGAGAGGGGAAGGGAGAGAGAGAAAGAGGAAGAGGAGGGGAAGCCCCCGGTCCGCACCCACAATCGCACCCCGCACCGTTTGCTGCATCATCCCAGCCAGGCCAGCCAGTTTGCAAGCGGCCCGCAAAGTAGCTCTCGTCCTCGTCCACTCCCACAGTCCGGCGGGGCGGGGCGGGGCGAGGCGGGGCGGGGCGGGGAGAAGGGAGAGGCGACAACGGGGCTGCCGCTGGGCCGCCGGCCGGACCGCTAGGGGTACAGGACGGGTACGTTCTAGGTCGGGGTCGCCTCAGCCGTGGAGGTGGCAGAACTGGAAGGGGAGGGGATGGGGGGGGGGGCAGTCATCGTAAAAGCCAAGTGGCGGCGCCTCGGCCCCAGAGTCCCCGCCGCCCCGCCGCGCGCAAAGCCGAGAGTCGCCATTATGAGGTCCGGTGGTCGGCCAGCTTCATGGCCTTCATGGCCGCGATCACCATCCCAGCCAAAACGCGGCCGCGGCCCCTTCGGCCCCTTCGGCCACAGACCCCGCGGGGCCCGTCCCCGTTTTCACACCGACCGGCCCGACCACCGATATCGCCCTGCACTTTCAAAGACACGAACCGGACCGGTGTCGAACGCGCTGTGGGGTCGGTCTCGGTAAAAATACAAACGTGCTCGGAACAGTGGCTGGACCCTGGGCTCTGGACCTTGTCGGGAACCACCCCAAAATCCCCAGCCTTCGCAGCGCCGTCTGGCAAAAAGGGCAAAAACCGGGGCCATAAAACCAGCAGACTGCTTCAAAGACTCGTTTCCGTCATCGCTCTGTCTCTCTCGCACCTGCGCGAGACGGCCCGCGAGTCCGAGAGAGACGGCGCGCCGAAAACGGCTCAGCCCGCTGGCAGAGGCAGATTAACGACGCGCCCCCTCCGCCGAACTTAACACCCCGCGCAGCGCGCAGGTCGGCAGGTAGCAACTTACCAAGTCTGCGGCTGTGCCGGCTGTGCCGGGTGGCGGGCCTAGGGCGCCTAGGGCCGAGTTCCTAGGGCCCTAGGAGGGCCCCACGAGGGGCAAACAGGAGCCGAGTGACCGCCACATCGCCGAAGCCGGGGAGCACTGCACACACACAAAGCATCATCATGAGCACAAGGACAACACAGTGAACAGGCGCGGGCTTGCGCAAAACACTAGCATGACTTTTCGCAACCCTCCTCTCAACAATTCTCACGTACAATTAAAGTTCGGGTGCATGGAAACGCCGCCAAGGCACGCCGCGGGGTGATAAAACGCACACGCAAGTCGTGGCGCGGAGATGGGACTTGTTTGTCAAGTTGGTTCCGACACCGCGAGGCAACACGCGTCGCGGCACCGCGGCGGCGTGGCGTGGCAGGGCGTGGCATGGCGTGGCGTGGCGGCGAGCGGCCGGACTACCCTGCGCCACAGTAATTAAGACTAACGACGGGGTGCGCGCGAAGCTGCAGCGGCCAGAGAGACCCGCCGCCACGATTAGAGAGACGCCAGAGAGAGACTCCGCGGCAAAGAGAGACCAGCAGGCGGATTCCGAGAGGGCGGTCTCTCTCTCGCCGCGCGTGCCGCACAGGTGTGAGAGAGACGAGAGCTCCCTTTCGGAGTCACCCCGCAGGGCGTCGAGAGGATCAATGCTGTGTAAGGCAAGATCCGAGCATGCGTCCGAAGAGCGATTTCACATCCACATAATTTTCCCATATCCTTCCTTCTCTCTCTTTTCCGCGTGTGCGGAAGGGGGAGGGGACGCGGGGGCGTTAATTGGCTCAGAGGCGTCCGAGGCAACGAAGCCCACAAAACAAAAACAACAGAGGCCAAAGAAAGGAGCGAGCGCATTATTCCATTTCCCTCTGAAAAAGAGTCGAGCATTGAGTGGTCGGAACGAGCTGGAAAAGGGGGCGGAGTGGGGGTACAGTGGCGAGGGTAGCAGGTTCACAGAATACCGCTCCATTTTTAATGCGAGCTAACCCCAAACAGGATATTCATTTCGGCCACAATTAGCCCACACGGCTCGTTTGGCCGCCGCGCCAGGGAGCGTCGAGGAGCCCCGCCGCGTTTAGGCGCCGTCCTAGAGGCGCCGTCCGGGCCGGGGCGCGCCGCGTGGATACGCGTTTACACGCACCGGCAGCACGCAGGAGGAGGAGACACAGACAAAGCAAAAAAGTGTGCCAAGCGCCTTTTTAAAAAGTATAATTCTGTTATGAACTCGCTTTCCGGGAGCCCCGGCGGCGCGTGATATGTATGTGTGTGTGATGCATTAGATAAAAGGCCGGATGAGGGGGAGGAGAGAGAGTGAGAGAGAGAGAAAAAAGAGAGAGGGGTGGAGTCCGCGGGGCGATCCAATAGGAAACAGCGCCACAAACGAAAAACGGGCCTTTTCAAAACATCATCATCGGCAAGGCAACGTCCCGGCATCGCAGTGGGGACAGACGCGCTCGTGCCGAGTCTCCAGTCTCTCTAGGTGCGCCGGACGGGGACGTGAAAATCGGTGCAAAGCGTGCGCAAAGCCGGGCCTGATCGCCAACGAGAAAAATGACGGTGCGAGTGAGCACAGAAGAGGAAGCAAGGAAAAGGGCGTCTGGCTGGCCTGCGCACTACGACGGCTAGCGAGAGCTCTCGCGCGCGAACATCGTAATGAACGAGGTTTGCGCGAGGCAGCCCCAGGCAGCGGCACGCCGGCCCAGCCCGGCCCGGCCCGGCAGGCCACGATCAAGCCGACTTTGCATAACGCCGGCGACTTTGTAGTTAAAGGGAGGAGGGCGGCGGGGAAGGGACACTGGGAGGGGGCGGGGCGGGGCGACCGCAGTGTGGTCCCATGCCGCACCCCGCCCCGCCCCGCCCCGCCCCGCCCCGCCCCGGCGGCTCGCCACCCGATAGATAAGAGCGGCCCAGAGATTGATGCCCGCTTAGCCCCAAACTTGCGGGCGGCCCGTTTGCGCTGGAGGGATCCCTGGCCGGGCGGGGTGCGCCGGGAGGCTCAGCGGCGCCGGGGCGTCCAGCCTGCCGTGCTGCAGACTGGGAGTCGCTTTCGTCGCTCTGTCTCTCTCGCGGGGTGCCCCTTGTAGGTGTGAGAGAGACGGGGCTTCGAAAACGACTCTCGGAACCAGTCTGCTGGCGGTGCCGCGGCCGGCCACACAGATCGCGGTCCCGGGTTCGGCGAGCCAAACGGCGAGACATTTCTTCCGCAGCGAGTTTCTCCACTTGCTTTTTTTCCCTCCCCGCCTTTCCTCCGTATATATATTACCCGGCGGTGCAAAGCACCCGCGCGCGCCGACGTTATGTCTTCTAAATCCCCGACGGAGGTCCGGTCCGTTTCGGCGCGGGATGAAGATCGCCGGGCTTCCGTCTGCTCTAGATCCACGCCAAAGCGGCCAAAGCGCTGCTGCGAGTGTTTATTAGTGTGTCCACTGCAAAAAAATACGAGAAGAACTACGCGATGATAAAAGTCTCTGGATGTCCCTCCCCTCTCTCCCTCAGGACTTTCAAAGAGCGACCGGGCAGGGCCGCCACGTCATAAACGAGACAGACTGGACCGGGGAAAGGAGCAGCGGCTGCAAAATAAAAGGGAAGGAAGTGGCAAGGGTGGCGGCCCCGCGGCCCCGCACTGCCGACCGGCCGATGACAAGCGCCGATGAGGGGGCCGTGGCCGTGGCCGCGGTGGCTACACTGCTGCCAACAGAAGCACTCGTTTACATTAATCACGCTGCTCTTGGCGGCCGAGGTTGGCAGCCTTGCCCAACTGGCGCCCAAAGTGTCGGGCCGGCGCCAGTACTGCTGGAGACTCCAGTGGAGAGACCTCGAGCCAGCAGCAGCATGGAGGGGAAAGGGGAGGGGGGGGGCAGAACCACGTTTCCAGAGAAGGGGAGGGGAGGAGCACCAGTGGTGCCACGGAACTAGGCCAAAAAATTCAACAACGCATCAGTGCCAAAACGGTTTCCTATCATCTCAGCCTGCCCTCAAGATGAATTGTTAGTTCTTGATGCCTTCACTGCGAATTTCAAGACTTCCATATAACCTGATTCAAAAATCTCAATGACATATGGAAAAAAAAATTAACGTCATTTTTTTAGGGGGGGGGGGGTAAACGCGGCTGTTTCGCGACCAGTGAACCCCCTACAGCGCACTCTAAATGTTGTACAGTGAAGATTCTCCATATTATGGTGAAAATGTTCCATATTATGGAGGTGCAGCTGACTTTCGTAACATACCATAATTCACTGTATTATAGATATTTTGCCGAATTTCGTTGGTATTGTGGAGAAAATCTCCACCATAATATGTTGGTGCAGCCTGTCACCGTAAGACATTTACAGTGCGGGTGAAACGGCAGAAAAGAAATGAAGGGGTGACGTGCCCGCCGGGGCGAGATGGAGTCGGGGAAAGGCCAGCCAGGCCAGGCAGGCAGCCAGGCAGGCAGGCAGGCAGGGGTTGACGCCCACAGAATGAACAACAAAACAAAAGGGACGAGGCGGACAGGAAGGGCGATAGACCGACCGGCCCCAATGAGGGCTCCGCAGTGGGGCCCGTCCGCTGTGCTTTGCCGGCCGACCAGCCCTTTGTCCGCCCGTCCGCCCCCACACGTGGCTGCATGGGCAGGCAGGCAGCAAGCGAGGCAGGCAGAGGGCAGGGCGCGTCAAAAAGTTAAATTACACGTGGGCCGACCTTCTGAAGGGCTGCTGCCCCCTCTGCTCCCTCAGCCGAGCGATTCGGGAGTGCCTGTCTTTTCGTCGCTGTCTCTGTCGCGCTCACGGGCCTGTCCTGAAGGGTGGGAGGGAGACACGGAGACACCTTCGCGCTGCTGCAAACCGGACCGTAAAGCAAGGGCCAGTGCGCCTACACTATATAGCGACAGCGGCGTCGCCAGACAACAGGGCACGCTTTCAAATCATGCCGCATCCATCCCATATAACAAATTGCTTTCCTCCCCCGACCCGACCCAGCCTCGGCCTCGGCCAGCGCTGCGGTGGACAGGCCGGGCCGGCCGGCCGTGGGGCCTCGCTCCGGGGCAGAGGCCGGCAGGGGCCGTGGCGGGCCGCGGAGAGGCCGTGCGAGCGCCATAAAGAGAACCCCGCGTCATAAAGAATGTCCCGCAAGCGCGCGAGCGGCCTCCACAACAAAGGCGGCAACGCCGGCAACGCGAGATCGGACGCGCCACTTCGCGCGGATTCCACCCAAGAACAGAACGGCCAACGCTTTTTATTTCTTTGCGCGCCAGCGCTGCAGATTTCACTCAATTTGCTGTCGAAAACGCAGCGCGATTCGGTGAAAAAAGTTACGCGTTTGTTTATGCAAAACTTTGCTTCCCTCCCCGTAACCGATTCACCTCCCGACAGATAAGATAAGAGCCGAAATCCAATAGAATCCACTTGAGCTCGCCATGCATTTTATCTCGAATCTTATTCCTCCCCCCTCGCGGCGCCGCCTTCTTTTTCCCCGCCAGGCATAACTCGGCCTCGCTCTGAACAACCTAATTCGAACTGGAGATGGCTTTCTGGCGCACTGTTTGACTGGAATAGTAAAAGGCGCAAACTGGAGCGAGAACGCAACGCGCAGGCTGGCCGCCGACCAGCCCTTCTTGCATGAGCGAGTCTGCCAACCGGTACACTGTCTCTCTCCCACTCGTAAAGGCTTTTCGTAGAGGTGCGAGAGAGACAGACGGCCTGCTCGCGGGGACGTGGCACTGGAAACTGGAACGCCACCGCCGGGGCGGGGCGGGCGGCCTCCTCGGGGCGCAAGAAACGGCTTGACAAAGTGACGAACAGGCCGCGCGGTGCGGCGGCGCCTCGCCCCACCTTGCTGCGCCTTGCTGCGCCTTGCTCGGCGTCGCCATCACTCTCGCGCAACATCACGGACGGCTAATCCACGGTAAATCTCCATCTCGCCGTGTTCATCACGCTCGCCGCCCCGCCCCGCCTCCAGCAAGCCGCGCGCAGAAGCGCCCTCTCTCTCCTTTCCGAGTCACCCCTCCGGCAGCGTGTCCCTTCCGCGTCATTCGAGTGCAGGCGACGCCAGGCGACGCCTCTGGCAGGGCCGCGGACATCGGGCTGGCACGGCGGGGACATCCATTCCGGGCTCTATTAGCTTCAGCCCGGGGCAAGAGATTGCCCGAGAGATAGAGGTGCCAATGGTAATGCGGCACGGTGCGCCAACCTAGCGACCGGGCCAGCCATTCGTCTCTGGCAACTCGCGCCGACTTCGCGGCCAGACTGGTGTCCAGTGTGTTACGGCACTGCACCAACAGAATCACGGCCCACCAAGAGCATTCCACTCACAACCACACGCAGCAGTGAGGCACTCTTCCTCTGAGGCCAGTGCAGTGCACTAAATTAGGATAATCGTTACGTCCACCACACATTTCCGAGTGACTGGAACGTCTGCACTGACCGACACACCAACGGACCACAGCCACCACCGGCAGCGAAGACGTCCACGTCCACACACACAAACACTGGCGTACTCACAGGGACACTCAGCTGCCCCACTCAGCGCGCGGCGGCAGCAGCGGCAGCAGCCCCCGGCACCGCACTACCCTTCCCACTCGGAGCCGACGGGGCCTGGTCACACTTCCTCACACCTCGTCACGCTGCGTCACGCGGACGCACGGCGCGCGGCGACGGCGCTGCAGCAGAGAGCGCGAAACCGGCGTCGCGGGCCTCCGAGCCCTCACTGGCCGCGCCGCCGACGACGGGCCGACCGGGCCGCGGCCCACCCCAGCCACACCCCTGGGGGTGGTGGGGGCGGCGCGGGGCAGGGCGGCGTGGGGGCGGTGCGGGGGCGGCGCCGGTGTGGCTGACATACCTCTGGCCTTTGCGGTCCAACGAGCCGGGCGACGCGACGGCAACGCGACGCGGACGCGACGCACAACGCAACAAGCGACGCGAAACGACGCGACAACATGGAACGCGACAATGCGACGCAATGCAGCAAAGGGGCGGCGCGGGGGCGGCGCAGTGCGGCGCGACCGCAAGCCAGCGCGACGCCACCGGCGGGGGAGAACCGTCAAAGAAAGGGACACGTTGGCACACGGCCAGCGCAGTGCCAACGTCACAAAAAATATAGCAAATTTGAGGGGGAATCAATGTCTTGCGAACGACGGGTATTCTGATCCGAGCGCTCCGCACCAACCCACCCACCACTAAGGTAGTCCCATCCCGGAAATTGCGCCCACGCCAAAGTTAATTAGCGTTAGGTTGGCAAACCTGACGGGTCGCTGCCCGTTGCAGTGTGATGCGGTCTGAGGACGGCGCCACATCCACAGGTAGCACACGGAAGGGTGGACGGACGGGCCGGCGGTATATTGACCGATCGGATGGGCGGTCGGAGCAGGCCTTGCTTGCTTTGCTCGCCCTGCTTGCTTTGCCTGCCTTGCTTGGCACACTGGCACAGTGCACCGGCCTGGCCGACCGGCCCTCAGCGGGTAGTGCCACCAGTGCCCCGTGGCTACCGACCCGCAGTGGGCCACCGGCGGAGGCGGCCAAAATTCTAGACCCATTTTGAGCTCCTGAGTCGCTAAATGAGCCTCGAACAGAACGTGTGACCCCACCAATGGATTGCTCCCCAAACGAGGAATCTACCGGTGGGGTCACACGTTCGGTTCGAGTCCCATTTAGCGACTTTGGAGCTCAAAACGCGTCTACAGTTTTGGCCGCCCCCCACCGGGTGCCAAGGCCGGCCGCATTTAGGGCTGACCCCTTCCGCCCGCAGCGGCGGGGCCGGGGCAGCCAGACTCGGCTTTCGACAGGCGGCGATGAGGTTGCCACCCCGCCCCCCGCGCAGCCAAGCCAAGACCGCTTGATTGCAGACCTTCGTCGAGAGCCAATCAGAAAGCAACGGTTTGGAAGCAGTCTCAGAAATTAACCTTCCGTTGCCAACTTGGCCCCGGGCTTCACCGGCGGTACGAGCGCTGTGTGCACAATTTAGAATAAAAGTCATCCCGAAAAAAAATCACATTTTGCACAACCTTGGTATTGGTATGAAGGCAGCTGAAATCAGAGTAATTCAAGTTACGCCCCTCCCGTTTCCCGCGCATTCCCATTCGCATTCTCGCCCTTTTTTTTCCTCCCACGACCGGCATGTTTTAATTACAGCCGACTCTCTCTCTCTCTCACCTGCGACCTCGCGCGGCCCCGTGGCGCGGCACACCTCTCAATCGGGCATGCGCTGCCGAGGGGCGCCGGGGGCGTCAGGAACCCCCGGGGGGCGAGCGAGCGAGACGGCCGCACACAGAGAGAAACAGAGACAGACAGGTGGGGGGGGGAGGGGGAGGGGGGGCGTCACGGCACACCGGTTCGTTCCACGTCCCATTGAGACCCAACCAACCTCCTCCTATTTCCGCTAGTGTTTATTTTTCTTCATTTCCTCCCCCTCCCAGCCGAGTGAGTGGACGGTCCGAATAAAGGGAGACTAA